TTCCTCTCTCCCAACTCATATGACTCTTTTACTAATAGTGAAGAAACCCTTCATTTAAAGTAACCGTAGCAATATATATATATAATTATTTTTTAAATGTCTTTTTTTTAATATTTTTAATAAATTAGTATTAATACTTGTAAAACTAATAAAAAAACAGTATTTAGATTTTTAAAAAAGTTAAAATTGAAAAAAATATTAAACTTGACTGTAATATTTATTTTGATATTATAATAAATAAAGTATTAGTTGTTTTTTGGCAAAATAATAATTTCATCACTATATTATTAATAATTCATAATTTTGTTAATAATGAATGAAAGATAAAATAGAAAAAATAAAAACAAGTATTAATATAATAAAAGTATATATATTTTTTATAATTAAATTCAAAAGTTCTTTATTATATTATTTTTATTTATATATTTTTTTCAAGATAATTAATAATTATAATTATAATATAAATAATATAAATATAAATTAATTTAAAAATAAATTTCTAAATTATTCTGAAGAGATATAATTATAATCTAAATTAGTTTTAATTATATTTCTAAACTAGTTTTAGTTATATTCTTAAATTATATTATTAGTTATGAAATTTATTTTTAAATTAATTGTGATTATATTATAATATAAATAATAATAATTTTGTAAATTTCTAATTTCTAAAAATATTTGAAAAACAAAATATGAAAGATAACAAAAATAACTCATTTCTTTTTATTTATTATTTATCTTATTATTTATTATTCATTATTTCTTATATAATTTATCTTATCATTTTCTTATTATTTATTTTATTATTTATTATTTCTCATTATTTATCTTATTATTTTCTTATTATTTATTTTATTATTTATTATTTTTTATCATTTATTTTATTATTTCTTATCATTTATTTCATTATTTAATATTTATTATTTTTCATTACTTATCTTATTACTTATTTTATTATTTGTTATTTTTTATTAATTATTTTAATCTTATTACTTATTTTATTATTTGTTATTTTTTATTAATTATTTTATTATTTATTATTTTTAATATATTAATTAAATAATTCTATTCAAAATTATAAGTTTAAAAATGTATAAATAGAAATGCTATCTGAATCTTAACTCAATATATTACAAATAAAAAATAAAATTCTCTTTTAATAAAACTCTTTTCCAAACAATATTTGTTTCTCTCACTTTTTATTATATATATTAAAGCTTGTATATAAGTGGCTTTGAATTATATTGTATTAAACAAATTACTATTATTAACTTTGAACTTTAGATTATATTGTGTTAAACAAATTATTATTAACTTTATACTAAACAAATTACTATTATTTTAAGTATTTGAATTTTGTTATTTGAATTTTGTTATTGAATATTTCTCATTTGTAAGAAGAACAAAGTGAAAGAGTTTTTGTTATCAATTATTACTAATTATATTTTTTAGTTATGAAACATTATATACAAACTTTCTTTATTATTTTTCTTTATTATTTTTTTTAAGTTATTATACTCTCTTTTCTTTTTTAATTTTTACTTTCCTATAACTTTTTTATATTATTATTCTTTTTTTAAATAAATACAATTTTCATAGAAATTAATATAGAACTTAAATACTCTTCTTTTCTTTTAATAATTGTTTATTAGTTTAATACTCTCTCCCAATTCAGATTCAAGTTTATAAACTAATTTAATAATTAGTAAACAAACTTGTAATAATATAATAAATAATATAAAAAAATTAGAAACTTTTTTTTATTACTGAATACTGTAATTATCAATATATATTAAATTATTTAAATATTAGAATTAGAACAAAAGCAAAAAAATTTTAATATAAACTTGTTTGAGAACTTATTAATTTTTACAAATAATATTAGAAAAGTTTATTTAAAAAGTAATTCAAAAATAAAAATAAAAAAAGTAAAAAAGAAAATAAATAATCAAAAAGTTTGAACTTTTAAATTAATAATTATATTTGAAATTATTTTGCTGAGTAAAGAAAATGATGAGAAGTATACCAATAGTATACTTGATTAACAAACAAAAAAATTTAAATTGGATTATAAATATTATATCAAAGTTAACTTTGATATATAATATATAATATATTTTTTTGTTATAATAATAATTATAATTATATTATTAATTTTCATAAAAAATAAAAAATACATTTTTTTATAAATTATTAATTTTTATATTAAAATAATTTTAAATATTACTCTTAATGGGATTATCTATATTTTTATAATTTGAAATTAATTAAATAAAGATATTTTTTACTAATAATTTATTTATCAGTTTATCAATATAAATAATTATAAATATATCAAGTTAATCTTTAATTTATATAACTAATTTTGTCAACTTAATTAATTATTCATATTAAATAATAATTTTATTTCATTTAGATATATATTACTTAAAAAATAAATTATTAGAATAATTTCCAAAAATTTAGTTATACAAAATACTTTATAATTGAAGTATAGCATATTTTATATAACTCAAATTTGTGTTCATTATTTGGATCATATATCATAAAGTGCTCTTTAAAGTACTCTAGATATTTTATATTTACTTAAAATTAGAATGATACATTATATGAAAAGATACTATATTTAGAAGTAGGTACATATTGATTGATAATCAAATTTATTAGTTTGAATAAAAATGAAATTGTTAAAGATCTGGATAAAAAATTATACTCTAATAATGTATATGACAAAAATCTATTTGAATATGAGGTTTTAACTATGTAAATAAATGGTTTTAGTGAAAATGAGAAAAATTAAATTAGTTTCATTCATTTTTTTGTATCAAATAATTGTAGTATAATATAGATAAAAGGGATACTTTACATTTTCATGTATTGATTACTATTTAAAGTATCCGGATATTGTACATAAATCATCTGTCAAAAAGCTGAAAGGTACTTTACACAGGAAAATACTTTAAAGAGTGCTTTACGATAACATTTGTCATGATGTAACTGTGATATTACTAGAGATGACGTAGCAAGTATGTGATGCTTATTTGTCACCCGTTGCAACACGTTGCAACTCCAAAATTTTATAAGCCGCAACTAGTTGCAACTAGGTGATGCTTTATTTGTCATCACGTTGCAACAGTTGCCGCACCATCTTTAGATATTATCATGTGATCTGACATTTTAGGAGTTATTCTAGTTTATTTAAGTTAAAAAAATTTTTCACGGGACAAGTTTTTCTTCAATTATTTTAGCAGACAAATTTGCTCGCTAAAATATACATTTAAGGGATAGAACGTTTTGCAGTGTGTATATTAAATATTATATATAGAGTATATAATATTAATACAAGTGCACATGATCTAGAAATCATGTAATCTAAAAATCACATGCTCGAACAAAATCACTACTATATACATGTATATACATCCTGTCTCTTCTATCCGATATCCCTCTTAAAATGTTTTTGCGAAATTTTACTATATATTTGACGTTTTTTATACAATAATCTTAACCTCTAACCTTAACCGAAACTCTATTTAATATTATGCATTATAATTGAATGGTTGGTGTCGGAATCGGAATCATGTGACCGACACTTTTTTTGCCGTGACTAGGGTATTAGTCACCCGATGAGTCAGAATTCATCTGATCGATAGTATATATACCTTCCCCAAAAAATTTTACCTGAATGTTTAAAGGCTCTTAAATACCGTGGTAAGACAAATCTTAACAATGTTTTCTTATGATAATGCTTTATAACGTAATCTGTCGTTTATAAAAATATGTAGTCTTTTGGGAGAGCCTTCACTAAGAGGGTTCTTAGAGTTCCGGTTAAAAGCAGTAAATTGGAAATCATTAAGTCATTATGATGAAGATTCTGAAATTGGAGCGAAGGTGTTAAGTTGGTTAAAATAATTCATGGTAAGTGTACTCATTTTATTTGATTAATTCGATACTGTGCGATACCAACTACCATGTGGTTGCGACTGGTATCTGGAAAGGTTGCGACTTGTCCGTGATTTGCCTATGTTCTTCTTTACAATCATTCTTTTCTAACTTTAAAAATAATTTTTTAAGAATGATAAATTCTCAGACCCGGTAAATTGTTTTTGGGATCTTCAAGCGAGAAGACAAAATATCCTAATGGAGTTCAAATTGCTTGAAAAGAAAGTTACTTGAGAAGGAACAGGGTCACACGCTAATAAGTATTGTATGATCGAGCAAAAAAGTATGGTATGGTCGGAAAATCACATGCATGGTACAGATTTTATACTATACTCTATATCCTGTGCCAATAACGTAACCCTTATCCATACCAAATAACGCTTTTGTAACATACAATACTAACCAGTTCAATCATACCATACTCAATAGTGTAACCCCCGAAGGAACAAGTAGGTTATCTTTATAGTATTTTCGAAAATAGCTTTCTGCTTTGATAACACTTCATAACCATATTGAATGTAATCTGACGAAGGTTCGTGGGAGGAAGTTTCCAGGCGGGTCAAATCTCACGATCCTGGTGAGTGTTTGAATCGGTGGATGTATTTAAAAGAGAAATTATACCGTGAGAAGTAGGGTTAAGGAAAGACGAACTGAGGGACGAAATCTGTCTTGAACAGGTTAGTATGTTGACTTGACACTTGATTACACATAGCTTGATGTTAGCATACTGAAAGGTTCATTTTTAGACTCCACATGTTCTGGAAGTGACAAGAGAAACCCAGTCTCAAGCTCTCTTACTACAAAGAACAATCACAAAAAAGCGCTTGTTGGATGAGCCTCGCTAACGAACCTATAATGAGGAAGAACCAGCAGGAAAAAAGGTTGGTATATAACTTAAATTTTGTCCACAAAAACATAAAAGGTAAATCGACTTTAAAGGAGGAATATATTGCCCGATGGAACCGAAATTAAGAAGTCGATTCCTCCCAAGATTATGACGATTCCCAAGTAGATGACTATGTTCATGATGATAACGATGAAGAAGAAGTCCCTGCTCCGGAAAAAACGCTCGATTCCGTCCTTAACAACAAAAAAACCTGGATTCTGCCCTCGAGGCGAAATTTTGGTGATCTAAGAGAATAAATATCCGCAATAAACAATGGTTTTCGATCAGATATTCGATTAGCCAATCATAATACTAAAGATTAAATAGCTCAAAATAAAAAAAATGACTTGTTAATGCTTCTATAGAATATATTGCAATATAATTAAATTAATTAAAAATTCACTCTGGTTTTTAATCACAAAGTTATTTACAAATAGTAATTTGGCCTAATAAAACTTACTGTGAATTTGTAGAAATCACCATCAAATATCAATTATCAAATTCAGCCAGTGACACTATTATTCAGTTCTTTAATAAATTCTTTGAGCTAGATGATTCACCATTACCTTTATCAACAAAAGTTGGAAAGGAATTATTAGATAATGCAAATATTTGATATTTGAAGTTCAAAGAAGTTTTGATCACTAAATTTCAGAACAATGAGTATATCCTCCACTATCAGCCTGCGATTTAGGTAATTAAATCTCTGTTAATAATTGAAAATATTAATCAGAAATTAATACTAGATTATAAAGAAAAAAGAGAAATTAGAAATAGTATTGAACATCATTTATTTGAAGAACAATATAATTGCAATTGGTAGAGACAAGAAAATCAAAACTTGCTATTGAATAATAATTGCTTTCAATTATCATCTATTTGGATACAATATCTTGGATCATATGGAAAAATCTTCTGGATATTCAATATTCTTATCTCTTGACAATATTTCTAATTTTTACAGAAATAAATTAGAATTAAAAGCATTAATCATTTTTCTTATTTTTCCTACCTTTATTTTCTATCTTTTTATCTTTTATATCTTTTTATTTTATCTTTTCTATCTTTATTATTTATCTTTTCTATCTTTTTTACCTTTACTTTTTATTTTTTACTTTCTTTTCTATCTTTTATATATTTCTTTTTATAATTTTGTAATATAGATAAAATTAAAATGTATTGAGAAATTTTATATAAATAGAAGTGCTATCTTTATACACTTTCTCATATTTTAATGCTAAAAACAAATTAATCTTTGATACAATAAGTTAATAACTATTTTATTGTTATAAAATTAATATTTATTCTTGTATCTTCTTCCATCAAAACAAGTTATCTGGCAAAAATAGAACTTCAAATCTTGTAATTCAAGTCACTTTTCATAAATCTTAAGTGAGATCAAGAAACTGAATATTGATTTGTGTAGAATTGAATTTTTGATTATTACTTTTGTTTTTAAATTTGAAAAAGATGGTTAAAGTATTTTTGGATAAGTATATTAATTTACTATAATAATATTTTTGATATAGTTGTGCATTGCAACTTTAAATAAGTAATATTGATTGTATAGTTGTGCATTGTAACTTTAAATAAGTGATATTGATTATATAGTTGTGCATTATAACTTTAAATAAGTGATATTTCCTTTAGTTATTTATTTTCTTTGATATTGAAAGTACTAAAACATATGACTACAAATATAGAAACATTATTACTTTTTTTATTTAGTTAATAATTCTGTTAGTTAATTATCTCTTTGAACATACTCTTCCAACCTTTCTTTTTACTCTTGATAGAATTATTTAATAATTTCTATTAAAATTGACATAAACTTAGATACTTATTTTTGTACTGATCAATTTTATTAGTCTATTCCTCTCTTCCAACTTATATGACTCTCTTATTGATAGTAAAAAAACTCTTTATTTAAATTAACTATAACATATTTTTGTGAATTTCTCAAATTATCAATTTACTTTTTTTCTTTTATTATCATTTAATTAATTCTTTTACTTTATTAAAATTAATTATCAAAAATGAATTCTCTTTTTACAACTCTCTTTGTGAATATTTATATTTCAACTCTTAATTAAAAAAACTCACTTTATGAATGATTATTATACTTTTATTGAATAATCTATTAGCTCACATCTTAACACTCATCTGAAAATTTAATACTAAGAGACAATATTTCAAATAACTTAACAATATTATTGTTATATCTGCTTTTCACTTTCTGATATAGTAACTGAATTTTTAGCTAATTTTCTTATCTGGATTCAAGAATGAGATGCAATATCTGGATCTTTCATTACTGAAAAATTATTTAAAGATATTATTGAAGCAGATTTTAATATTCTTGAAAGAAAAGAACTACAAAGATAAGTGATTTGATTATTAAATACTCTAATTTACCAAAATTAATACACTATTGAACATTAACTTCTCTTAGTTAAAACAACACTTAAAAGCTTTCTCAATTAAGAATTCAAAAAAGATTCTAATTTATCTGACAGCTTTTACTCTAAAACAACTAACAATACAGAAGCAACTAAAAAAAATCACTTCTTTACTGATAGCTACAATTTTATATCTGAATTTAATACATATTTCAATTTTTCAATATCACATTTTGAAATAACCATAATGATCATCCAAGTAGTCATTGATGCAATCAGTAAATTAATTATTTTACTAAATAATAAAGATGATCATCCAAATTTGAAAATACAAATGTGGAGATCAAGATCCTATAAAATAGCTCCAAAATTTTAAAGTGACAGCACTAGCCAATAAAATTATCAATAATCACAAAATTCAAATTGTTCATAAATATCTTGAAGATACTGTTACATTATGATTTGATGAATAGCAAAATTTACTAAATGATGTCTTATGAGATTGGACCAATAGCAATCATTTTGTAAAAGATAATAATCAGGAAAAAATCCAGTTTTTTAATTCCAGAAAATTACCAGTTTTGTTAACAAATTTCTGGATTAAAATCTGATTAAAAATAAAAAAATAGTGAAAATAAAAAAATATCTGGTAACTTTGTGATGCAATATCTCGTGATCTACTAATTCAATCCAGATCAAAATATCACTATTTGATTCATCTAGTCTTGACAAATTAAATAGTGATATTTTGGTCCAGCTTGAATTAGTAGATTATGAGATATCACATCCCAAAGTTATCAGATATTTTTTATTTTTCCTATTTTTTTAAAAATGAATTAATATCTTATCATGCACTTAACCAAATTGAATAAAAATAAAGCCACATATTTACTGAGATTTAGTAGAATATTTGCTAAATTTTGGTGAAATTTGGCCTGGTGAATCATGATATATCATGTTTCAAATTAAGTATTTCAAATTAAAATAAGTTTTTTTTTCAAAAAATCAAAATTAATTTAACAATTTTGAAAATATAATATCTTTTGAATTACCAAACCATTTTTGTAAAAATTACTATCATTAAATTCACCAAAACAAGATGAATTTAATAATAGTGTATTTGAAAATAATGCATTTATTTTAATTTTAAACAAAAAAATTGATCCAAAAACTTTGGGATGCGATATTTCATGATTTACTAATCCAATCCAGATGGAAATATCATCATTCAATTTGTCAAGACTAGACAAATCGAATGATAATATTTTCATCTGGATTGGATCAGTGAATCACGAGATATAACATTCCAAAGTTTCTAGATTTTTAATTAGATTTTAATCTGGAAATTTGTTAACAAAACTAATGATTTTCCAGAACTAAAAAACTGGTTTTTTTCCTGATTATTATCTTTTATTTACTGGATCAAGATTATATAAACTTAAAGTTTTACTTTAAATAACAATTTAGAACTCAACAAAAACTGAACAAATGACAAAAAGAGCTCAAAACTTTGCAACAAACTGGATCTATCAAACAATACATCAACCAATTCAATGAGTTAATTCGTAAAGTAAATTCTGATAAAAATTATCTCTTGTCATACAAAAATAGAATATATTGACGTGAATTAAATCTAACTCTTTGAAAATAGATTACTTTTCAAGATGAAAATATCTTTCAAGAACTTGTTGATGCAACAAAACTATCTAAAGAAGCTAAAAAAGAAACTATACCAAAACCAAATCATCAAAATCTAGTACAAAACTTCTCTGATATGATCACTCTGGCTTTAGTTATTCAACAAATAGTCATTTGATTAGATAAAATAGAAAATAAACTATTACAACAGTCTCAAAACTTTGAAAATCATAATTAATAATATTAGTTGTCTACTTGTTATAATTGCAGAAAAATTGAACATATCTCTAAAATGTACAATTACCTCTTCAATTCTGAAAATTTCTGATAAAATGCAGATCAAAACAATAATAATTGGAGAAATTAGCTGAGACAAAATCAAAATCAAGGTAATAATATTGTTGTATAATGGAATTTTACATTAATTATTAGTCATTTAATCTTATTGAATAATTTTGAGAATATATGTTTATATTTTAATTAGTTAAGATCTTCTTATTTATATATCATATTATATTATTATTTATATTATTATTTATATTATTATTTGTATCACATTTATATTATTATTTACAAATAATATATAGATTATTTATTTAGATTACACTAGATGATCTATATTTATATTTATATTGGATCACAAGATTAGTGACCAAGCGAGCGAACA